GTGAAAATGTGGTTTTTAGTGGCACAGCGGATTTCTCTGCCACCTGCAATGCTGACATCTGCATCTCAGTGCTGGTTTGAGTCCTGTGTTTTGCCTTGAGGTCCCTTCTAATGCAGCTAAGAAGGTAGTAGAAGATAGTCCAAGTTTCTTGGCTTCCTGTAACACAAGTGGGAGACCTGGATGGAGTTCTTGGCACCTGGCTTTAGCCTAGTCCAGACCTGACTGTTGTGGCCATTTGGACTTTGATGCAGCAGATGAAACTCACTCTTTCCCCCTCCCTATGTCATTCAGTTTAGTAGTTTGTTTGTATGTTTGTTTGAATGTAAGATCAGCTTAGGAGTTAAAAGGGCATACAGGGGTTGGCATTGCGCACAGTGATTGAGATGCCACTTGGGACATCTGTGTCCCGTGTTGGAATGTCTGAGTTAGAGTCCAGGCTCTGTTTCCCGATTGCAGCTGGTGCACAACCCAGGATGCCACAGATGATGGCCCATGTCCTTGGCTCCGTGCCGCGGTTATGGGAGACCTACATTGAGTGCCTGGGTCTCAGCTTTGGCTTGGCTCATCGGCAGCTGCTGGAGCCATTCGAGCATTGAACCAGTGCATGGAAGATTTCTTTTCTATATCTCCTTTCAAATCCATTTTTTTTAAAGAAGAGGTCTAAAAGTTTTCTTATTGTTTAAAAAGTAAGCTTCTGCTTTAATAATCTTGATGTAGTTACATTTTCTTTGTAGCTTTTTTAGATTTGTTTCGCAGTGGACTAAAAGAATAGAAATGTATAAATGGATGTAAAAGCTAAAAATGAAGGAAAGCATACTAGAAATACACAAGAGTAGGCAATTGCTTGACAATTCAAGCTAACACTATATATTTTGGACTTCCTGTGGGAATCAACTTTTCAAAAGAATGGTGTTATTTGATGTTTAAATGAGGGGTCTCGTTGATAAAGCAGGTTTAGGAGATGACCGTTTCTGAATGGCCTGTGTGGGAGAGGGCTCACAGGGCAGGTGCCATGAGTAGTCCTTTGGTCATGATCCTGGATTGCTTGAACGCTGCCCTTACCAGCTGTATAGTGTTGAATAGCTGGCAGTTGCCTTCCCACAAACTCAATTAGCCCAAGTGTAAAAAGGGAAATTATTTCACAGGATAGCTGTGACTGAGATTCAAAAAAGACAACTATAGCCAAGCAAGTAGAAGGGCAATTTTTTTATCTTTCAGGATTCAGGATATGTCTACACTGTTAGAAAAAGATTGACATCACAGAAGAATTTTTCTATAGGTTGGGTCTACCAATATTTGCTGTTAGTCATTTACTGAAAAGTTGTAAATATTAAAGAATAATACACCTATTATCATATAAGTAATATATCTTTTTTGAATATTTATTTTTATTAGGCAGATTTACAGAGTGAAGGAAAGACAGACTGACAGATCTTCCATCCAGCCATTCACTCCCCACATGGCCAGAGCTGAGCCAATTCATTTCTTTTTTTTTTTAAGATTTATTTATTTTTATTACAAAGTCAGATATACAGAGAGCAGGAGAGACAGAGAGGAAGATCTTCCGTCCGATGATTCACTCGCCAAGTGATTGCGACGGTCGTGCTGGGGAAGCCAGGAACCAGGAATCTCTTCTGGGTTTCCCACACGGGTGCAGGGACCCAAAACCTTAGGCCGTCTTCAACTGCTTTCCCAGGCCACAGGCAGGGAGCTGGGTGGGAAGTGGGACTGCCAGGATTAGAACCGGCGCCCCTATGGGATCCCGGCACGTTCAGTGCAAGGACTTTAGCAGCTAGGCCACGGTGCCAGGCCCAGCTGAGCCAATTCAAAACCAGGAACCAGGAGATTCTTCTGTGTCTCCCACATGGGTGCAGAGTCCCAAGGAATGGCCCTTTCTCTACTTTCCTAGGCCATAAGCAGGGAGATGGATCAGAAGTGGAGCAGCCAGGACATGAATTGGTGTCCATATGAAATGCTTGTGCTTAAAAGTGGAAAATCAACCTTTTGAGCCATTACGCCAGTCCAATAAATGTATCTTTTAAAATAATTATTTGTTTGCTTGAAAGAGTTAAAGAGAGGGAAAAAGATAGATTTTCCATCTGGTGATTCACTCTCCAGGTGGCTGTAACAGGTGGGGGAAAATAGAACCGCTTGCTATCTTTTATGTGATGTCACATTGTCCTGGATGCCTTAATCCCATCTAGTTAGACTGGAAGGAAAAAAGAATGGGTAAAAAATTATTCATTTAATGTGAAGACTTGGAGCTGGATTGGAAGTGCAACAGCCAGGACACAAATTGGCACCTAAATGGAATGCCAGTGCTGTAGGTGGCAGCTTGACACCCTGTGCTACACCAGCCCCATATTTGTTCCATCTTTATGTGTTATTAAACTGGGGATAAGTTAACGCTTTCAAGGAGGAGGTACAGCATTATGCCTGACGGCATGGACTTTTTAAAACATATAGATCGAATTCTACATTTACTGTCTGTATAACCTTGGGCAAATTCCTACTTTCTAAGCCTGTTTCCTCAATAAAATGGAGATGACAGTGATTGCTGTGGCATAGTAGGTTAAACCTCTATACTATGCTGCTGGTGACCCAACTGGGTGCTACTTCAGGTCCCAGCCACTCTACTTCCAATCCAGCTCCCTGTTGGTGGCCTGGGAGAGCAATAGAGGGTGATCCATGGCTTTGGGGCCCTGTACCCTGTGGGAGATCTGGAAGAAGCTCCTGGCTCTTGGTTTTGGATTAGCCCAGTTTCAACCACTGTGGCCATTTGGAGAGTGAACCAGTGGATGGAAGAATTCTGCCTTTCAAATGAAAATAAAATAAATATTTAAAAACTATTAAAACAGTATCAACATCATAAAAGTGACTGTACAGTGAATAAATGGTAGTTAGTAGTAGTGTTTTTGTTTGTTTGTTTGTTTTGTTTGCTGTCTCAGTACCCTCCTGTCCACTTTAATTTCTGTTGGTGTTTCTTGTGGTGCGGTTAAATTGATTACCATTATTCTATTACCCAAATAAAGAAACTGAGATTGTGAAGGTTCCATAACTTATCCCTAAGTAGAGATCCAAAGTCTTCCACTTTCTGAGGCAGGATTTTTCCAACCGAAAATTTTGCCGGTAAAGCATGAGAAGCACTGTTGTGTTATTTCTGACACCCTCACATCATGGTCAGCAGAAACATGGATTTTGCATAATGGATTCAAGAAGAGGTGTCATTTTGGGTTGTGCCTTGCATTCATTTTTAATTGCATTCATTTTTAATTTATGGAAAATGTTATAAGTATAGATGAATAGATACGGAGTAGGTTCTACAAGATTATTTAAATACTTTGGTTTTCCTCCTTTTTCCTCCTTCCACTTCCCCAACTCCATATCCACCCAGGTTTTAGAAAAGAACTCAAGAACTTGGAAGCATGTTGTAAATCTCCTGAGTTCAACTCGGAATCACACCAACAAATAAAAAGTCATTTGATAAAAAGGTAATCACAGATACATGGTTATTTTAAAATCTTTGTTCCTTAACACTTGTGTTCTAGGAATTTCTTATTAGAAGAATTTAAATGGATATTACTACTCTGAAAGCAATGGGTCTACAGTGAGTACTTTAAAAGATGTTTGTTTTGGTGTAAAACTTGCAAGTTCAAGCATAGCTTTTCCATAAAGTGAATTATCTGTGAACTTGCTGAGGAGCTCTCATGTTTATAAGTTTCAAATGTTTTTGTTCCAAAATAAACTTACCTTTTGACTCCATTTTTCCATGTACTTGCTGGGAGTCATTCCCAGGATTTTGAGCTAAGGATAGAGGCTTTCAGAGTACCAGGTAGGATCCCTGACTCTGACTCTTCACAGTAGTTCTATGGGGAAGGTAATACAGGAGTCCTGATTTGCAGCAGATAGCTTTCTACCTCCCAATGGAGGCCTTGCCAAAACACTGAACTTCATATACACCGTGAGTACATACACACATATGATGCCTTTTCCATCTTAACTAAGTATCCATCACACATTCTGGGCATAACTTTTGCTGTTTGAGGTGGGAAAGCAAAGCCAGCACAAATTTCTTTTTCCTTTACAGTGTATTGGATAGAGGCCAATGTGGATAAGTATATCGTCATTCACACACAATATAAAATTATCAGGTTAAACATTAACGTGCTGCAGACTCATTGAAATGTAAGTCCCACCTGTGGTTGCCTTGTCAGGGCCACACAAAATAATTAAGGCCAGTGGGCTGGGTGTTACCCACCCCTGGGGGATCTTAGCAACCCTCAGGATAAGAATTTCCTTTCTTTTGAGAATTTCACCTTTAAAGGCAGCACTTCATGGCTTCTCTTGGCTTATCCAAATTGCAAGCATCACTACTCTTATGATTTGGGACCATTATTAAGTAAAATAAGGGCGACATGAATGCATGCACTGTGATGCTGTAACAGGTGATTTGATAACAGTATTTACTAAGTAACTAGTGGCTAAGTAGCAGGTACAGCAGATATGGCAGACAAAGGAATGATTCATGTCCTGGGTGGGACAGAGAAGGACATGCTAACTTGTACACAGAACATTGGAACTGAGATTTGATTATAATTGTATATAGGTGGCAAGCCTGCAAATCTTTTTAACCATTCTGCTGTAATTCATGTCATGGTTAAAACAGTCACAAAAGAAAAAGAATTTCTAGTGTGGTATTATTAATTTTCACCTTAGAAATTAACTCTTACCTAAATAATGATCATTGTGATAAAATTATTTTTAAATTAGCACACAGTTCTTATACTATTAAGTAACAATTTAAAAACCTTTATCTCTACTGCCTTTACACTTGGGATGTCAGTGAGGAAATATTTTAGGACTTGAGCTATTTGCCTGTAACATTTTCCTTACATTTTATGTTACATTTTATCATAAATAAATGTTATTTCAGTGTTTGTAAGTTGGAATCAGTTTTTTAAATGATTAGAAATATGGTTGTGATAACAATGCTTGGTTGGTAAGCAGATTACAACATATACACCTCCCATATTGGTCGTGTTAGAAAAATAATGCAAATTGTATGCTGGGAAAATCAAGCTATACGATAGTACTTGTCTGTGGTGTCTCAGCTGTGTTTTTTAATGTCCTACTTCAGGCCACATATCCTTGACCCCAGTGGAAAGCTGCTTCCTTCATCCAATCCACAAGTACTCAAGGATCATACTGTTCGAGAGCTCTTCCACCAGTCAGACGGACAGAAGCTGGAAAAACCAGAGGATGCGAAGTTTTCTGAGTGGCTCCATCCAGAAAATTCTGAGAGAACGGATGTTCCTTTTCCTGGTGATGGTAACTCCACTTCTGGGAAGAAAATGAACAATGAGATACCATCACCATCTTCATTGTGGTTATCACACACAAGAACTGCTGGGTTAAAACCAGAAACCACTCCTTCCACCCATCAGCAGAGTATGATGCAGCAAGGTTACTCTGAGAATTCTCTGTCAAGGGAACATGTAACTAAATCAACCTGCAGAGCTGATGGTTGTCAGTTGCCAAAACTTTACCAGAACTTACCACCCCCTTTGCCACCAAAGAAATATGCTGTAACCAGTGTGCCACAGTCAGAGAAAAACGACTCCACACCTGATGTGAAACTTGCAGAAATGCTTAAAGCTAATTCTTCTAGTCTTCCTAAGCACAATTTATGTACAGCTCCAGAAGCAAGGGTGGAAGTAAATACATATATGAATGACGGAAGCTGTAAAGAAACATTCCAAGTGAAAGAACAAGTTGGCAACACACCAAACTACTCGGGCAACTCAACTAAAGACGTTCAGGCAAACAGAAGCACAGTTGTTGATGGATTTTGCCAACCCAGTTCAACATGTCCAAATGAGAAAATGTCATTAACCACGTATTTTTCCGTTGATAGCTGTATGACTGACACATACAGATTGAAGTATCATCAGAGGCCCAAGCTCTGCTTTCCAGGGATCAGTGGCTTCTGCGATGAGAATTCACTGTCTGAGAGTGAAAGAGGGTTGGGACCCGTGTTACATACTAGTCTTGGTTCAAACTGTTCTTCTGAGCAAAGATGTAAACCTACTCTACACTGTAACAGATAATGATGAAATTGGAAAGCATATATTTCTCACAGGCCATTAAAATATAATAGGATCAAACTGAGCAAACCTAAAGATACATAAAATTAAAACTCATGGCATCTTTTGGTCACTTATCTATGTTATTTCATGATGATCAGTTTGGATATCACAGAAACCTTTTTGGCATGCCCCCCAAAAAGGAAGGGTATCTAACAGTTCCTTTTCCATAACTGTAGCTGAGCAAACATTAAATTTTGCCCCACTGTTACATGGCTAGTAGTGCCATTAATTATTAAGTTATATAGTGGTTAATATATGTAGATTAGTTAACCATGCTCACTGAAAAAAAAAATGGGAGGTAGTTTGATTTGTCCAAGTAGTGTTTGCTTTATGAAGACGCACTTTTTAATGGGTAACAAATGGCTTCACCCATTTGTTTTTGACTTCTGTGAAAGTCCACTAGATGTGATCCCTTTAAGTGTCTTTAAAAAAAACACAGCTGACCCATGGATTTTACAGCATTTCAAAAAGAATGCCTTAATAATGAAAAAATGTTAAATTAAACCTTGGCGCTCAGACAGAACTCAATTTAACTCCTAGAACTTTTATTTTTTAGAAAGTCTAGTTAGGATAAATTAGGCCTCTGGCTGTTATATATATTTACTTCAGCTGTGTAAGCTAAAAGGTTAAAATACTTAACATTTAGTGTATTTATCTTGTTATACATTTTTCTAATTTTACATGAAATGTGAAAGGTTTTTATATTTTGTTTTGGTCTACTTTTGACTGCTAATAACCAGTGTTAGGAATTAACCATGGGCCATATTATTGGGGATATCTCTCTGCTTATATTTTCTGACTGTAAACTTCACCTGCTTAAAGGCTGGCATCCACATTGTTTAAATCTGAAAGTTTTCCAGGTTTCCAGGTAAATCTCCACCTTCATATAGAAGAATTAATTTTAATGAATGGTTAATTAATTTGAGTATCATTCCCTTTTTCCTTAAACAGTAATTTACTCTAGCTGATTTCATGGGGAGAGTTTTCTTTTGAAATTAAAAGGAATTTTCTTTGTTATGATAACCTTACCAGTGAACATAAGCTACTTTAATTGCCTTATTTCATTTGTTGTCATTCTCTCTGTACTATGCTGGTACACTGTGGTTTAGAATAGTTTTAAAATGTCCACTCCAAAAGCTGAGTCACAGAATTAAGTTTTCTTTACATTCCTAAATGGATAGACTTCATAAATTTAATTCAGCAAACAAATGATTATCTCCTGACAGATTAAGTTGCATTAAAATATCCCAAAATATAGATGATTAAAATAAGTACTTTTTGCAAAACAGAAAATAATTGCTTATAAATGTTTAAGCTTACTGTTTTCAAATATTGTTCAGAGTTTATATTCTGAAAGTTGTAGAAAAGTTTGTACTGGCTTTTTCTAACTATAATGGTTGGTGATTATTCCTTTATAATCTCTTAATTTAGAAATACTTGAATACTAACTAAAATTTTATCTTTTCTCAAAGCTTATTTTTTAACAACTTTTCACATGAAGGATTTGTAAATAATGTAAATATTGTGAATTTGTATTTGAAATGTCTTTTTTTACCACTGCTTTTAATAACTGTAAAATACTAGAAAGATGGGCTTCAGGTAGTCGATAGCTTTCAAAGACTTTGTAAATCTTTAACTTCTATATGGTTAAGATGTCCAGTTGGAAATGTTTTATTTCCAACATTTAAGCAGCAGTTTCGCACATTGTCCTTCAACTCACGATCTGAGCTGTAAACATCAGGTAGTTCCAGTCTTGCCTCTCTTCACGAACTCTCCAGTTGGAATCTCCTGAGTCATATGAAACTAAACAAACACGTTTTTATAGTGACTCAACACTCCAAATAGATTTTACACGTATACTTGCTGATAATTCACATGTAAAATTTTTACTTGTAGGGTACTATTTATTTTTATAGATGTCTTCATTCTAGTTACAGGCTTTTACCTCTTTAAAAAATACAGTAAAAAAAAAATTGTAAAGCTTAAAATACTTATTTTTAGATGTTATATTTTCATGTGAAATCAGTTTCTTCCAGTTCAAAAAATCTTTAAGATAAACTGAATTTTAAGTCAATATGCTTGGTATTTTCTTTGCATTCATGAACTGTGGTACGCCTTCCTCCGTGTGTATTATGCATTTTATGGGAAATAGGAGCCAATTTAAGATTCACGAGAACTTGGAATTTCACTGTTAATATCGGAAATTCCAAAGTTAAATTCCAACAAGGTCTGTATCACAATTCTAAAGGAGTGAGCAAGCTTCCCTTGAAGTTACAGAAAGCAAATAATTTAGAACTATTCCATCTAATTAGTCAATTCTGCTTTTGTAATGTGAAAGCGGCCGTAATATGTAAAAAAGTAGGCATCTCTGTTTTCCAATTAAACTATCAACCTTAAAGTCCCGATTACATGTAATTTTCATATTCAAGTAGTATTGATTTTTCAGTTGTTTTCTTGCCTAACAAGTTGGCCCACAGGTCTTGGAGAACCTTGTCTGGGAGCAGAACCTACATCAGGTGGCTGCACCAACCCACCACAGCTTGGGGTCCCTGCCTGTTTTCCTACGTCACTTAAGGGGCTAAGTGCATTACAGTTCTCCAACCAGGACCAGTTGGATGTATAAGGAATCTACAGCTCATGAACAAATGCATATTATGAGGGGATAAAAAGGCTCTGGGACCCAGTGCATTGACTTAATGGCTAAATTCTTACTTTCCAAGTGCCAGGGACCCCTATGGGCACTGACTGGTTCTGTGTCCTGGCTGCTTCATTTCCCATCCAGCTCCCCATTTGTGCCCTGGGAAAGTAGCCAACGACAGCCCCAAAGCCTTGGGACTCTGCACCCACGTTGGGGTCCTTGAGGAAGTTCCTGGCTTCAAAAGCAGTTGCTGTCATTTGGGGAGTAAACCAGCAGACAGAGGCTCATCTTGCCTTCTCTTCCTAAAATTCTGCCTTCCCAACAGAAATAAATATCTTAATAGCCAAATTATGCACAGAATTCAAATTATTTTTGTGTCAGAGTATTTTAGTTACTATTTGGTTGAGATGATCACACAGACTGAACCCGAATGTCTGCTCTCCGTAAGCAGGAGGCCCAGGGAAGTCAGTAGTGCAGCTTCAGTGCAAGCCTCCAGGCTGGAGAACCGGGTGGGAGGGCGGGGGCGCTGATGCTGGTCTCAGGCTGAGATAGTGCCCCCTTCCTCTAACCTCGGATTCTATCACACATCCCAGGGGAAGAAACAGGGGAGCTCTTTCTGACTCTGGTTCAAATTTGTAATCTCTTCCAGAAATATTCTCTAGGATGTATTGAGAAATGTATCTTCAGCTACCTGGAAATACCTGAACGCAATCGAGTGCACACGTAAAACAAACAGGACCAACAAGATGTTTGTATCGTCATTAAAACGTTTGTGGCAGCAGGCTGATTTTAGCCTCAAATGGACAGTGTTACAGATTATTAAAATCTGAGTAAACTTTGAGAAGTTAATCCCCTCACAAGCTCATCACTAGCTAATCTGATATAATAAAACCAATTCCAGCCATGAAAATAAACATTTATTAGGCAAAATTTTGGCCGACAGTGCAAAAAACAGTTTACAGTCTGTGATAAACTGGATGTCCAGGTGTTTTAACTACTCCTATTCAGATGCAACACTACCCTGAAAGCTTATTTTACAGTCATCACAATCATTGGGCAGTACAACCTCCAAAATCAACTTCAGACTGAAAGGTAGAGGACACAGCTTGTCAGATCTTAGGCCACTTACAAGGGGAAGGAAGCCCCAAAAGACAGTTCACACACACCAAATGCCACTAATTCCCATGCGAAGAGCCCACTTGTAACATTAAGTTTATAAACCCTGGAGGGCTACAAGGACTAGTTCGCAGTACTTAAGGTAACTGCTTTGAGTGGGACCTTTCTGATTCCACATTAGTGATTACCCCTGTACTGTCAATTCTTCCTAAGTAACATGGACTTCAGACCAACAAAAGGGGTGTTCATGTTAGCACTTAAGAAGCCAGCCTCCCCTCTGAGTGCCTGGATTTGATATCCACCTCTGGGTCCTGACTCCAGCCCAGCTTTTCAGAGGCAGAAGTCCTGCTTCAAGGAATCGGGCTCCTGTCACCCCCATGGAGGACTCAGGCGAGTCTTCTCCTAGCCTAGTCCCATGAGCGATGGGAATGGGTGGGAAATTCTCCACTACTGTGTCTGTTAAAAGTAAATAAAAATGAAGGTTCATGTAACTGGTGGCTGAAGAGATACACTGATTTCCTGAAGTATCTAAGGAAGCTACAAACATCACAAAATTTATATTTTGGTCACAAATACAGGTGAATGCGACTGATAAGCAAATTTGAAACACAGAAACTTATTTCAGGGAGCTTAAGAATATAAAAGGAATTAAAGGAAAGCATTCAGGTAAAAGGGCCTGTAGGCTAGATTTGTAGTTGTTATCTACTGTCTTTTAAAGACTCTTAACCTGCCAACCAATGACATTCTGTAACAGTCCAACTTAATCTAAAAAGCATTTAAGGCCAATAAAAGTACACTTTGTTCCTTCTCTCAGAATTTCTCCCTCAATAATTTACTTTGAACTTGTACATACCTCACATTATTATTCATTATGTTACCTGTATCACATTAAACCCTATTTAACCCTTAAAGTGTGACTGGAAAGATATTGCCATATTTTACTTGAAGAACACACTAAACCTTTACTAGGAAATACTGATATATTCAGCCCATGTAAAGCTATCAGATCTGAAAAGTTATTAAACATCAAAGAATTTAAGAACTTAGCTATGAATAAGTGAGATTATCCATGTAATGTAGTGTTCTAAATGATGGAACACAGTGTTAAATGAAAAAGTCCTTTAGAGATGTGAAATTTGGCTGCAGCATAATCTGGTCTTCTTCATCCAAGAAGTGTGTAGTCATTTTCCGAGTCCACAAGCAAACTTCTCAATTCTGGTACCAGCAAATCAGTCTATAAAAACAAACATCTATCAGCAACATTTATTTCTTTTCATTTGAACACTGAATGTAAATTTCTCAATTCTTTTTTTGTCATTTATCTATTCCCAAACACTGATAATAGTCAAAACAAACAAAACCAAAAGTCTGGATTACTTCATGTCAGTTTCCCATTTTCTACCCAGTACTGAAAATTCAGATCTTAAAAAAAAACAAAACAAAAAAACAAAGCCACTTGAGGTTTCCACTAGTACCGGAAAAAAGTGTGTGTGGGGGGAGGGAGAGTTGGAGAGTTAAACACGACTGGAGCCTTTCCAACGTTCTCCCCCATTCAACCTTCTGCTTTCTGATTTGCCACCACAAATCAGCAATGATGAAGCTACAAAGTAAAATACATTTTTACCAAAAATTCAGATATGAGTGGGGAAAGAAGGCAGTCATTGTCTATAAATTAGTTCAGGGTTCACAAAAACTCTTGGACTTGATGCCTGAGGGAAATTAACTTACTGGCAAAGACCCAAGGATGCTCAGAGGACGAGCTGTTAGCTGTTAACTTTCTCATTGGGTTACACACCTTATCAGACCTGCCTCACCTGCTCGCCCCCCACCCCCACCCCAGCTCCCTTCCTGTATCCCCTGCTAGAACAGTGTTTGCAGGGTGAACATGGAGCGCCTGGAGTTCACGAGTGCAACCCACAGAATTCTGAGATTGAACACGACGCGTGGGTATGGGATGAAAAGGGAAGTCTCCCAGTCCCAGGACTGTGGGATCCAGCTGACGTTTCCGGGTATAATGAGGATCACTTGAAAAAATCCAGTTCCGATCCTGCTGCCTTTGGGATTCCCACAAGGGTCTGCGGTATCACAGTGGCACAAAGACAATGGCTTGGGCTGGGCGCTTCCTGCTCGGCAATATGCAAAACCTCTCATTCAATCACTACAGCCCGGGACGCGGACACTACTGGTCCCCAAGGGCAGAGGACCAAACAAAACAGAACTTGAAGATGTTAAATAACTTGGTCAGTTCTTTCGTGGCGGTGTACGCAACCTAACTCAGCTGGTTTCATTGCAAAAAGGCAAAAACTAAGGAGGCTGGCGTGGGGGACTGTCTCAGAGCTGCCAGGACAGGTGTTTTCGCTCCTCATTCTCACCCTCCAGGCTCTGGACAGACACGCGCCAACTCTCCGCAGACTGCACCCCAATTGCACCTGCCCGCCCCCCAAAACCTCGGGGCAAACGACCCCTCAGTTTCCTGCCCTCTCCCACTCTACATTCCGAAGGACACTCACCAGGGCAAAAGATACACGAAGATGAACAACACCACATCTATGAGGATGAAGAGCCAAAGATCCAACCAATACGAGTGCTTCGGGACCCCGTTCGGCCCGGACTGGGGTCGCACACAGTGGTTCTGCTGCGGCCCCTCCGCCTCGCCCAAGCCTCGCCGCTCCCGAAGCCCGTCCGGCCCGTCGGCCGCCGCCGCGCGCTCTTCCATCTCGCTCCGGCAGAAGAGCAGGAATCCCGACACCTGCAGCTGCTCCTGCAAGGGCCCACTGCCCGCACTTCCGCGTCCGCCGCCCTAAGAGCCGACGTTCCCCGCCCCGGAAGCGGGCGCTGGGCCCGCCCTCTCCGTGCGCAGGCGCGGGCCGCCCTGCAGGCGTGACGCGAGGCAGGTGTGCGGCCTCCTCCCGGAAGTGCCCATTTTCCCGGACCTAGAGCCAGTTCTTCCAGTGTCCCGGCCAGGAAACCTCTTACTCTGCCGCCCGAGGCGAATGTAGCTTGGCGTTCGGTTTCTGTCACGTGGTGGACTTCGCCCCGGGATGCCACAGGTTGCCTTCCCTGTCTGTATTCCTTTTGGGAGTCAATGACAGCTTGACCCTTCTGGTGGTTCAAGCGTCAGTGGACACTAGCACTTTGAGACAGCTGTCACGAGGTGCACATCATCACGAGTGGGCTGGAGGGCAAAACGGAAGAACTTCGCAATTCTCTGGTGGGCATGAGTTTAACAATAACCCCAAGATGTGGAGCGTGAGTCCCACACAGATTACAATGCTTGTAGAAAGGTGCTCCACCCCTAGGTTCTGGGGTTTATCAGGTGCTCCCGTCTCAAGTACGTTTCTGCCGTTGTTATTGTGAAAACTGGATTGTTCGGCAGATGTAAGCCCCTACGTGTACCGTGTACCTGTAAGGGGTTCTTCAGGTGTGAACTGCTGTTTTTACATAAACTGCCCTTACATCTGCGTAAGACTTTGAAGCTGTGATTACTCTATTTTGCAGAATTGAAGCATGAGAAACAAATGAGTGAATTGCCATTAAAAAGGTCATTAAGCCTAGAAGTCATCCCCAACCAGCATTCCTCATGAACTCACTGTTAACATTGCCTGAGCTTGCCTCCAAGTCAGTTATAGAGAGACATCATACCACCTGCAGAGAAAAGTATCTCCACACTTTGTCCTGTAGATTCTGGAAGTGAGGGCAGTTAATTGAGGAGTTTGTGTGCTGTAGCCCAGATTATCTGCTGTTAATAGAGGAGGAAAGATCCTGGACTGAAGCAATGGTGAACTTTTGCAAATTTAGGAAAGGCAAGCAGATGGTTAGCCTTAACTGAGTTTAGAAGCACTTTTCTCATTGGTTAAGATAGGAACAATTATTTTCTGGTGAAAAGCAGTGTTAAAAATTATTAAAGAAATAGCCCCACATAAAGTGAAGGAGTTCAGAAGTGTTGCAAACCTACCCTTAAACCAGGTCTGTTGGGGATCATGCAAATGAGAAGGTAATTATGCAAATAGCAGCTATGCAAATAGAGTCCATGAGGCAATCCATTTAAGACTTTATGCCAGTGGAAATCCTGCTGAATATTCACAAGACAGAAATGGGTGTGGAGTATGTTCCTGAAGGAAACGCTATCAATTTAAAAGAAAACACTGAACTGGAATTTGGAGGAGCTGTTGGTCATGTAAGAGCTCTACATGAATCACTTGAACCTTAATTTCTTTTTTTTTTTTTAATTTTTATTGGAAAGGCAGAGGTACAGAGAGGAGAGACAGAGAGGAAGATCTTCCATCCGATGATTCACTCCCCAAGTGAGCACAACGGCTGATGCTATGCCAATCCAAAGCCAGGAGCCTCTTCCGGGTCTCCCACATGGGTGCAGGTTCCCAAAGCTTTGGGCCATCCTCAACCGCTTTCCCAGGCCACAGGCAGGGAGCTGGATGGGAAGCGGGGCTGCCGGGATAGAACTGGCGCCCATATGGGATCCTGGGCGTGCAAGGTGAGGACCTTAACCACTGTGCCATCGCTCTGGGCCCGAACCTTAATTTCTTACACTGAAATGAAAAACACCTGGTAGTGCAGACTGACTTATCACACCATGACTATGACATTCCTAAAACATTCCTAAAACAGCACAATTAATTTGATTGGGTTGGAGTGGAGCCACACTAAGGACAGCTTCATATTGTAAAGGTGATGTTACAAATCTGAAGTTTTTAGGATGATATATTAAGCTTTTTTTTTTTGTAATTGCATTTTATGACAGTTTCATAGGCTTTGGGATTCCCCCAACCCTTCCTAAAAGCCCTCCCCCCATATTGGATTCTTCCAAATTGTTACAGTAGTACATAAGCTTTAAGGTTGTAATGTGGATTGCTTCAGACAGCTGTCAACATATTGGACGTCAGAAAAATAAAGGGTCCTTAAGGCCATTCCAAAGGTTCAACCAGTGTTATAATGACCCTTCAACAGTAGAGCATTGTTTTGGTAACTTTTATCTGAAAACACAAGTATCTGCCTTTGGTCATCTCTTTCCATCCTTGCTCGCAAATTATGTACTTGTTCAACAGAGCCCTAGTGGACTGAGAGCAAGATTATCCCATCTTCTAAGGTCATCTCAGCCATTGCTTTTTGTCACCTTGTGTCTTAAGGCCTGCGTGCTGAGAGTATCATTATACTTCAGTTGCAGCTGCACTCTTATGTTGACCTTGGCCTTTAGCTGTCTTCCACTCTACCCTGTGTGACTCTCTCCATTGCATTCAGCAGCCTGAGGCTGGGAAACACCCTTTGCTCTAGTCAGAATGTTTGTTGTTATAAATGCTTATCTTGATCGCTGGGTCACATGCGCGTTCTTATTAAACTGTAGAGATTCTCCACACATCTAAATCCTGCACATCTGCAGACTTCATAAAGTTTCCCTCATGAAAATTCACGTTGATCTCTCCATTCTCAGTTTTCCTAGCATACCAGTTGTAAAAAGTTTACATTTAATTTGTCTGCAGAGCCTTCACAGGCCATATATTCTCAGACTCAAGGCAGTGAAGTATTTGCTGCCATAGTTTTTTGCCTTCTTTCAGCATCTCTTGTTTCCCTCTACCTTATATGTAAATCTGTTCTTGTCTGGCACACGGACTTTGTTGCTTTCTGTTTAAGAGTATTAATTGTTTACAAGGTGAAACTAGTTTTTACCGTGCTTGTAGCCTCCCAAGTTTTTCAAACAGGGAAGAAGCTTTGGACTTATTCATTTATACTTTATTCTATTTTGCTACCATTAACACTGCCATGCCTTGAAATGGTAGTTCTTACTAAAAAACAGTCGTCATTGGGATTAATATGACAAAACTCTTCGGAATTTGCCACATTGAAAACAGCATGTATTTGTTAACTTGTAGTGGTAGTACAAACTTCATTTAACTGTGTCTTGATTAGTGGTATATTTTGTGAGTGAAATTATTTAGGTCTTATATATTTTTTTTCTTTGTGTATCTTGATGGTTTTGGAGGTTCTGGGAAATAGTCTCTCCATGTGCAGCTGGGGATGAAAATAAGGAATATGTCACTCTCAAATGTAAATGAATCCCCTTAGAATTCTGGAAAAGGCACCTTAACAAAAATAGTCCAGGGGCAATGTTTTAGGGCAATGGATTAAGCTGCTACCTATGATATGCGTCTTATATTGGAGTGCAGATTAAAATCCCAGCCACTCCACTTCCCATCTGAGCACTGGACTGATGCACCTGGCAAAGCCCCAGCAGGTGACTGAGGTGCTTAGCACCCTGAGAACTTCTGGGGAATCTTGGATGCAGTACCTGGATCCAGCTTTGGCCTGGCTCAGTCTTGGATGTTGTGGGCATTTGGGTAAAGAACCAACAGTTGGAAGGTCTTTCTGCCTCTCCCTTTCTCTCTGTCACATTGCTTGTCTAATAAGTAATTTAAGAAAATTCAAGAAAAATATAGTTCTGGGTGCTCTCTGTCTTCAGGATAGCATACACTACTCCTTTATCTAATATTTATAATAATTATTTTTACTTGTTAAATGTCAGTATTTTTACTTGTTCCACGTCTAGATTTTAAGCTTGTAAGAGTTAGAACTCCATCGGGATAAAAAGAGTGTTACCGCTTGCACTCCTGTCACATTCGGCCCACTGGAGGCGCCTCATTCATAATCTAATAAAATAGCATGGACTCTTAGGTACTCTGGATCCAAGAAACTATAGTTTCCATTTTCCATTTAGTTTCTTGGATCCAGAACAAGAACAAGTTGTATTTTTATCTGTCAGTTGTAAAAATTCAATATTTCCACATCTAATTACCTGTATATCACGCTGTTTCTTTTCTCTGGTTTTCCTTTACTGGAATTCATCGTGGTTTCTAATGTCTGCTTTTCTCTCTGTGTGTTTCACTTTTTGCTCATCACTCCTGGCTAACAACCTTTTCTATTACAATCAAATCTCAACAAAGATATTCAACCTGGTTTTAATTAGTTAGAATTATTGTTCAAGTTGATTATGCAGCCATAAGTAACAGAGAAAATGTGAAATTTATAGCAATGTCAGTGCATCTAGGGGACATTATGTTAAGTGGAATAAGGTACAGAATTAGAAGTGCTTCTATATGTGGAAGCTGAAGAGTTGATTAATGGAGCCTGATTACCAGAGTTGATGTGGGGAGAGGGTGATGGAGAGGGATGGTTCTTGAGGACAGGGATGCAGTTGAAGTATGAGGGATAAATTCTAGTGGTCTAATGTTCTATAGCACAAATAACTGGTGGACAACAGTTAATGGACTATTTTAGTATAGCTGATAGTTTTGAGTACTAACAAAAGAAATAAATTACATTTGTGTGAGGTGATAGGAATGCCAGTTATTGTGATTAAACACTGCATATGTATATTAGAATGTCACACACTTATCCCATCAGTGTGTGCAGTTACTATGTATCAAAAGATAATTAGAAAGTTATTGCTGCTTTCACTGCGCTTGGACTAATCAGCCAGCCATTTTAGATACAGCTTGGGTTATCTGATTCCAAATAAGATTATCTGATTACAAAGAGCAACTAGGAATAACTCCCTCAGTCAGATTCCTTTGTGTAAGAAATGGGGTAGGGAAAAGAGGGGGGAAGCTGACTTTTGCTGCAAGGCTTGTTGTTAGTTCATTTAAAATGCAATGATTGGCGCTCAAACTGTGTTAGAGGGATGCAGTGGGCGGGGGTGTGGATGCAAGGCTGTATGTTGGACCTCATGGAGCGCAAAGGCTGGAGGACACAGGTGAACAAGATCAAC